GGTAAGTTTCAAAACGGACCCCCATAGAAATTAGTTGGTGACCCCTGCATTACAATATAAAATATATGCAGGGAAAGAAGCTGATATTGGACAGTCGGTATCAACTAAAGTTGTTATGCAACTTATGGAACCTTATTTGGACGAGGGAAGATGTCTTTTCATAGATAATTGGTATATCAGTATCGATTTAGCTGAAAAATTGCTTGATAGAAAAACTCGTGTAGTAGGAACATTACGAGCAAATCGTAAAAGAAATCCAACAGAAGTAATCAAAAAAAAATTAGTTCGAGGAGGTGTTGTTGCAAGACGAAATAGACGTGGCATAATGGTACTTAAATGGAAAGACCGCCGAGATGTTTTAATGTTGTCCACAAAACATGATAATTCAATGATAAGTTTTAATCGAAGAAGAACAACGATTGAAAAACCTCGTGTTGTTGCTGATTACAATAAAGGGAAAGGATATATTGATATGACGGACCAAATGGGATCGTATCATACCTGTCTTAGAAAATCTATCAAATGGTATAGAAAGCTGATATTCGATATTATTTGTAATACGTCTATGGTCAACGCTCTTTCAATTTACACAAGTGTAACAGGACGAAAAATGGCACTTGTTGATTTTAGAGAAGCTGTGATTTTAGGATTGTTGCAAAATAAAACTGCACTAGACAGAACAGAAAATGAAGAAAAACATACTTTGGAAAAAACATCTAAAATCGGAAGATGCAAACGATGCTACGAAAATATATCGAAAACAAAAGGTAATTTAAAATACTTTTTAAATTCATTATTAGAAATATTTACTTTTTTTTTCTAATAATTTTAGGAACGAAAGAAGCCAGAAAAACAGCTAAACGAATGAAAACGATATGTAGAGTATGTGGCCATCATTTTTGTTCTGAATGCTTTTTTATAGCCCACAAAACAAAAAAGGCATAGGTAATTTAGTAAACAACGCAAATTAATTTTTTATTTCATATCCAAAAAGGAATTTTTTTTTTTGAACATTGTAAAAATTAAAAAGGTATCATTAATAATAAAAAAAAATGTTATAAGTAATACGTAAAATTCAATTTTTTATTATATATTTCTAAATGTTTTTTTTTAACAATAATTTTTTTTTAATAATTATATTATGTCAAAGTTGAATATGTTAAATAAAAATCATATACATAATTGTATTTTTATTAATATTTATTAGAGAATACATTCAATTCAGATGTCTAAAATTAGTCAAAATTAAAAGTAGATTACAATAGTAACAAGTACTGCTACGTGTTCGCTAAAAATATAGAAATGGTCTAAAGGACCACGAGATTCATATTCCTATCTAAAATCAACAGTACCGTGTCAGAATTTTGTACACGGAGATGGTGAGTTCAAAAACGTCAGTGTACATAATAATGTACATGAAAGTAAGTTTGGCAATTTATGGCGTGTACACAAAAATGTACACATGGCCTTCCGGGCAATGTACGAAAAAAGTAGGTGGCAGTTAACGTGTTAAGACCTAACTTGTTGTTGTGGTGTGTCCGTCCGCCATTCGTACGTGGGTGGGTTGTCCGTGCTTGGGTGTACCAAATGTGTGTGCAATTTTCGGACTTACATATGATTTTTGTGCCTGGGAGTCGAGTAGTGCTGTTACGAAGCCTGACCTAAATTCGAGCTCAACCGCTGGGGTCGGAATTTTGTCGGGGCATGTTCGATTAACACTTTTCGACGTCAGATGTATAGTGTAGCGGGATAACTGGTTCTTAACCGCGACTTCGGTGTCCTTGGTGGCGGTTTGCACCGCCATGACCAGGGCGTCCGATTCGGTTACCTCTGTGCTACGCATATATTCCGGCGGCACACTAGAAGATTTCGCGGTAGAGGTCGTTGTGTGTGGTGGTGATGACCTACTACTTGTGGAAAACTTTTTGTGGACGGGCGATATATGTGAAGACGCCGAGTGTGTCGACGCGCGTTTGATGGTTATATCGCCGTCGGTATTGCCGATAATTGGTGGTGGTTGGTTACTTGTGTGGGTGTGTGTGGTTGAGACGGCGGTGCGGACAACTGTCCGCCGACTCACTTGGCTTTTCCCGAAACCGACGGTTTTTCGGGGCAGTCACTGTTCCAGTGCGGCCCTCCATAATGCTTGCACGGATCGCGCGGTAGCGGTTTCCCAGCTATACTGTTCCGTGTTTGCGGCTGGTGGGATAGGCACGGTGCATGTGACTGTCCGCCTTTTTTAAACGATGGTTTCGGTAGCGGTTCCGGTGGTGGGTCATCTGGTGTATCCATGATACCCGCAATTTGTCGGAGATCCGCGAAGGAGGTTGGTTGCTGCAGTCTTATGTGCGTACGGTATTCACTGCGCGTTAATCCGACAATCGTATCCACTAGCTGCGGTTCAGCTAGCACCGGAATTGGTCCGTTATTGATGCGGCGCGCGAGTTGGTTTTTGTGTGTAATAAACTCCGTTAGCGACTGTGTTGGTGTTTGCCGGACGGACACTATCTCTGTCTGCAGCCGGGCCTGGATATTCATGTTGTTGAATTTTTGCAAAAAGTCAACACGAAATTCGTCCCAAGTGAGGTCCAGTATCCTAATGGTGTTCCACCAGGTACTGGCTGCACCTTTAAGCTGCGGTTCAATAATGCTCGTCCAGCCTGTCCGGTCAATCTGTGTCTTATACAAAATCGATTCGGCCTTATGAATAAACCGTACCGGATCTTCGGGTGTCGTTCCGTGGAACTCCGGCAGCGAGTATCTCACTGTGCGTATCTCGTCATACGGTATAAGTGTCGACTGGTGTGTTGTATAACTGTGCGGATTGATGGTGATATTGTTAGCATACGACGCGTTATCGGAGTGTACGGTTCGGTTTGCGTGGTGGTTGCCCGCGGCCGATGTTTCACGTGCCGCGGGGATTCTCGCTCCGTATTCCGTATTGACTCCCGAGTGCGTATACGGGTGAGGCTGTGCGTTGTGTAACGGCGGTGCTTCCGGTGTGTTCCGGTGTTGTCCTGATAACGCAGCACCTTGTTGTCGGCTAATCTCGGTAGCCTCCGGTTGATTTTCCGGTGCCGAGCGCGTCATACCCATCTCCAGTCGGCGCATTGTCTCCGCTATACGGCGTTGGTCCTCGCCAAAGCGAGACATGCAGTCCTCTAGCATGGATAGTCGCGACTCCAAGCTGTGCTTGTTCAGCACGCTTTCCGCCGACTGCCGTGCCTCTTTTAATATACTACGGGCTGATAGCATCATATCCGTAGCATTCTGGGCGGTGTATGTGTGTGGTGTGGATGGTGTTTTTGGCGGTACTTGGGCGGGTATAAGGTCATCCATTTGCGTCTCGGTTTGTCCGGCGTTAAACGTCTGGCTTCCGTCGGCGTCGTTTCCTGCTGGCCCAATGGTTTCCATGGGTTGGAATCGTATGGAGTTTGCCTGTAGGCCCATCTCCGCGAAATGCTGAGCTAAGCGGATTTCGAGCGCATCTTTCGTGCCCGCCTCCGTTAGCCCGCGTTGACTACATTCATAGCGTAACTCCGCAGCGGTCAACTCATTCATATGTTTTCCTGCCATAATGTCCGGTAGTATCTCCGGTGTTATGTTCAAGAAAAAATATTAACTGTTTACGGTATCGGTGGAACGGTTATCGCGTTCTTCCGATCTGTATTGACCGCGTATCGGTGTCTATTTACGTACGAATATAGGTCAATGGGCTCTGGGTTATTTTTATTGTGCTTGCCGATGACACAAATACCGGTTTCCGTAATGTATAGTCGCGGGTACGTATGTGTGTGTAATCCGGTCGACTATCGCGATTAGGGACGACGGCGGCGCTTTGGGCGGCAGCGGCGGTCCGGTTTTGTGGTGTGTTTGCTGGCTACTTGCTTGGTGACGCTGGGCGGGTGGTGGTGCAAAAAGTCTTATCGCGCTCTTGCGTCCTACCTATCCTACTCCCCGTGTGTTTGCAGCGTCGCGCGCGGTAATTTCGGTGCGTCCGTAAATTAGGTGGCGCGGCTATCGTTACGTACTATCTGATTATGTTACGTAACGCCGGTTTTTCCGTAATAGCCTGCAAACCACGTTTTTGTCGTGTGGTTTTCGGGAGAAATTTGCAAGTTGCACAATGGGAAAAACGATGAGGTAGTAGTATGAGGTAAATATAAAAGCGTTTACTTACCGGTAATTCCTGGTCGGGGAGCCAATTTGATGCGTACCTGGAGGTGGAATGGGATGGTTGTGTGTTGAGGTAGCAAAAATAATAACACGATTCCTTTTCGGTAAAAGTCGGTATTCACCGGTTTATTGATGTTTAAAAAATGAACAAATGCTAGGTCACAAGTATGAATCCGGTGAATGGTCACAATTGTGAAATCAAAGGTTCACAGTACGCGAGTCGAACAAAAACCTAGGTTGTTGTACCGCGTACGGTGTATGGTGAAAAACTCATTCCGGTCGTCGGACCGGTTGGCGGTGTCGGCGGTCAAGACGTTCCGACGCCGTTGATCGTGCGTCGGCGTCGTCCGTCGTCGCTGGCGGTTGGATAGAGAAGTCGTTCCGCGGTTTTCCGCGTAAAAGCCGTTTGAATTCAAACGGAATATTACGCGGGACCGCGTCAAGTTTTTTAATAAAATTAAGATCATTATAAGGTGCAGTCGAAGCTAACGTTGCATCAAACCAAGCTTCAATATATACTAAGACCAAAAATATTGAAATGTCACATAACCCTTTCTCTTCTATTTTTGTTAATTTAAATTCATAGCGAAATAAATATATTTTTAGACAATATATTGCCTTAGCCATCCACCTTGCGTGGTGAAAAGATCCTGGTAAACGGAATGTCTGGTTAGCACCGTGACCAAGGAAAAACAATGTTAGTTCTAATAACTCTCTATAGTCATCACGTGGTTGATTTTCAGACAATTTTGATTTGGCATAAAAAACAATATGGTTAATATAAGGTTTGAGGATTTCATTTACTTTTTTATTTTCAATACCTGGTTTAAATTTCGTTTTGTCTATATTTTTCCACTCTTTTTGAAATCTTTTAAAAATGGGTACATCGCAACCTACTGACTTACTCATTTTTTCGTCAAAAACACTACGAAGAACGATTTCAAAAATGTGGTGACGGCATGGCAAATATAGTAAATTTTTTTCCAAAAGTTGTTCCAATAATATGCATGTACCATTTAGTTGACCAGTGTTTACCGCAGTTGTATCGAAACTTAATGCTTTTATCGATTTTTGAATATTCCAATTTAATAATGTATCATAAATTGCAGACACCTGCTCTTTTCCTGTACCACATTCTAACTCTGGTATTGCAATAATTTTCTCTACATCTCCATTCGTAATAATCACTGAAAGTCTGTCAATAATATTCTTACCTGTTA